ACGGCTACAGTTGAGAAAATGTGTCTTCTAACTTTTGGTTTCTCAAATGTCGACAGCAGATGGGAATCAAAATAAGTCAACTGCAATCAAGGTATGCATCAATCGGCAATTGTATGTGTAAAAGTACTGATTTGGTTCCTTTTGAAGCTCTTGCAATTATAATGAACCGTTTTGTTGTGTTGTGATGGTGTTTTAGTCAAACAGTGAATCCAATGGAGCCATTAATGCTGTGCCAGAAGAAAATTCCAAGTAAGTAGTCTGGATTTTCAAAAGTTCATATGTGATTATTATACTGCTTGGTTAGAACAAATTGCATTTTCATGCATTGATTATTCAGCTTTTGGTGTTGAACAGGATTCGTCTTCAACGTGTTTTGGAAACCCGGAAGGTAGTACTATGCAAAGAGCAAGCGATGGCTTATGCTCGTGCTTTAGTTGCTGGATTTGAACTGGACTACATAGAAGATCTTATATCTTTTGCTGATACTTTTGGAGCTACACGCTTAAGGTATGAAATGTTGACTTGACTCACCTGTTACCGATTTCCACTAGTTTTTTGAAGGCTTTTATCCTCATTCCAAAATTAATGTTATCCACTGTTTTTCTTCTTTTCTCTCATTTGGAGGTTCGGTGGGTGTGTATCTTTATTAAAGGACGACATCTCAGTTTCGGTTTTTTATTTTCAGGGAAGCATGCATTAATTTCATAAATCTATACAAGCAAAAGAACGAAGATAGGCTTTGGATGGAAGAAATAGCAGCAATGCAGGCACTTTCTCAGCCACAACTGCCGTACTTGGGAACATCAGGAATAATTCTTGCTGGAGAAGATAATGACCCCCATCAGAATCTCATGATAAATGTTAACCAAAACATTCTTTCTGTTGGGAAGAATAGCTCATTAGACACATTAGTGTCGGAGTCAACAAGTCATGGAAGTCTCGACGCGAACCAAGGTATGGTTAAACACCCAAGAGTCGTTCCCGTTTCTGCCTATAATTTGGCTGTGATCTACTCGGCCCAAAAACTTGTATTGCAACTTTGTATTAGATAACTCCATCCATGACATGGTTAAAAAATCACAATCTACAGATATTTCGATGATCATCTTCTTTTTCATTTCACATCTGAACAATCTTAGAGAGAAGTTAATAATATTAATAATAGGAAAGAAACTCAGCTTCCATCTCCAACGTCTTCTTGTCTTGTGCAGATAATAGCTTGCCAACATCGATGTCATCAATGGATGGGAAGGCACAAGTACCAAACCCATGGCCAAACCAGCATCCTCAGTACATGCACAATTTCCAAGGTCCTGTGTATCCACAAAGGCACCCGTATCAAGGTTACCTTTTTCCTGGTATGCAGGTTCCGACATATTATCCAGGGAATATGAACTGGCCTCCGAATGGGGAAGAATCTGGCCCTATTTTTGATCAGGAATCCGATGGACGGAGGAATCGTAAATCTCATAGGAATAAAAAGAAACATTCTCATGAAAAAGTAGTAGAAACTTCAGACCAAGATGTATCCGGTGACAACACTGGCTCCAGTTATGAGAGTGAATCTGATGATCAGACGCATAAGCAAAGGCATGGGAGAAAGTCCTCGAGAAAGGTTGTTATCCGAAATATCAATTACATAACCTCTAAGAGGGATGGAGAAACAGGAAGTACGTCTGAGGGAAATTCATCCGACAAGGATGGATTTGTTGATGGGAAATCCATTAAACAGCAGGTAGAGGAAGCTGTTGGGTCATTTGAGAAGAAACATAAATCAACCTCACATCGTCATAAAAAACAAGGTGGAGGCAAGTTCCGTGGCGCTGTGGATGATTCAAATAGTGGTGTTGCAAGTACTTATGAGGGAGAAAAACAAAATGAAAACTGGAATGCTTTCCAAGACCTTCTCATGAGGGACAAGGATGAAAGTTCGTTTGCTACAGAACCACACAATGTACAGATTGAGGAGGAATATTTTTCAAGTAAGAACTCTGGCGAAGGAAAAGTGACTAAGCAACGAGCAGATTCAAGTGAATTTTTTGTGGTGACAGAGAGGGATTCAAGTAATGATAGTAAACCACGTGTCCAATACTTCGAAGGTGACGAGAATGTTGGCCGGATTACCAAGAAAGAAGATAGCACATATGAGGACGTATTATTTTCACGGAGAACTGAAGAATCTGGAAACAAATCCCATGATACTTTATCTGATTGTGTCAATGAATCGTACATAACCAAATGTTCTAAAGAAGGGGATTGGTTCATGAACAACCAAACAGATATATCAGCAAATAGGGATGTCAATAATGATCTGAAATTGTTTGATGGTGTTGATGCAATTCATGCGGAGAGGAATAAGAGAGATGTTCTAGGGGATGACTCTTTCATGGTTCAAGGCCGATCACTAGTTGATCAATCTGATTCTCAGTTCAGGACAGATATAAGCTTCGTCCCAGAGATCAATGGAGCTACTCAAGATGAATATGGCATGCAAGAAACTTCAAATGATAAACCTGAAGCGTATAGTGTTCATGAACCGGATGACCTTTACATGATGCTTGACCGTGGATCAGCTATGGAGCATGCTGTGGCACCATGGACTCCCGAAATGGATTATGAAACTATTGCTTCATCATTTGAAGCTACTAAGAAGAATCCTGGCACTGAAGCAAGTGATTCCGTTGAAGTTAAGCAGCCTTCTGATGGTAAGGGAAGGAATGATAAAAATAGTGGAATTCCTGGACAAAAAGCCAGGTCTAAAGTTGTAAATGGATCTTTGGCGAAAAGCAAGTCTGATGTCATGTCAAGAAGCAAGAAACCTGCTCCTGTAAGCAAAAGCACAGTCCACAAGAGCAAATCTGAAATGGTATGTACTGAAAGAAACTCCCTTTATAAGGTTTTCTAAGATAGTTTTAAAGAGTTTGTAGTCATATCACTGACTGTATCTGATATTTACTATTTCTTTAAAAGATTTTTCGCCCCTTTTCCCGTCAATTTATTAGAAATTTATTATTTGGTGGCTTCATTATGCAGTTGAACTTTCTGTTATGTGTGTTATGTGTTTCCCAAATCAAATGGAATTTTCACTTTTTCTTAGATGTCTTGAGACTTGATTTTTGTTCATTGCTACTAACACTCTCCCTCTCCCTTCCATTTCCTTTTTGCTGGTTTATTGACTTTCTTTTCCAATATTTATTAGGAAAAAGAGCGGAGAAAGAGAATGGAGGAGTTACTGATTCAACGCCAGAAGAGAATTGCTGAAAGGAGTGGTTCTGATACAGCAATATCTAAGAAGGCCCCAATGGACAATAAAACTACCAAAATCTCCATGACTAACTCGAAGAATGAGACTAAGAAATCAGATAAGCCTGTCATGCGGAATTCCACCATTGAACGCCTTGCAACTGCACGAGTAACTGAAAAGTTAACACCAACTTTGCCAAGTGCTGGCCAACCCAAAAAACAGAACATCAAGGCAAACGGTGTGGTTGCAAGTGCCTCATCACAGAAGGCAGCTGCTGCAGTGAATAAGAAACCCACTCCAAACAAAGCCAAACCTTTGGGTACAGAAGAGGACCTGAAGAAATCAAATCAATTAACTTCATCTGACTCTAATGTCCAGGAAAAGGTTTGCATAGAATCCACAGAAGCACTGCCGGTTAAGTCAGCAGCTGCAGTTGTAACTCAACCCACCTGTTCCATCAATCATTTGGAAGAGAAAAAAGAAATCCATGGTACATCATCTGTTGAAAAGAATGAGGGAAATTTGATGTTTCAAAGAGAGGCCCTGGAGAATGGTAGCACCAATGGGTATTCTCCCAATTTGGTTTCATCTGTACCTTTTGAAGAGAACGCTCAAAAACTGAATCAGTTTACAGGAGATGTTGAAGAGTTGCCTAAAGAATTTCCAGTTCTGAGTGAAGACAAGAGAAATTATATCTCGGAAATGAGTGTATCTCCTCCTATTCTGGGATCACCTAAGAAAGCTTTGATTGTTTCAGCTGTGAACAATGAAGAAACTGGTGCAAAAACAAAGAATTTACCAATTTCTGAGATCTCTGAGATAGAAATCTCTACTCCACCAAGTGATGAAACACTTGCGGAACTCCACTCCAGGAAGAAGTGGAACAGTGATGAGAACTCTCCTAAAGCTGCCAAAGGGTTTAAGAAGCTTCTATTGTTTGGGCGGAAGAGCCGAAACACTCCTGTCAATTGATATTTGTGGAACTAAGATAATTCATTGCTAGTAGCTTTTGTTTGCAGCATGTCATAATATTTTTCCATTGGTTTTTTGGGTTGTTCGTGTCCAAAAGGGATGGACCGACCAATTGAATTGCTTGATAATGCAGCTGATGCATTCTTTATGGCTGTCAAATGGAATAGCCTCACCGCTCTCGTATCCAATAAGGCTTCCGGGTGTTGCTGCCACACAAGGAGAGCACTGTAAGTTATGTATTTTTTTTTTGTATATCCTAGGAAGATAGAAAGATAGCCATCTGCTTATTTGATATAGCTTGTGCATTTGAATTGATAGACAATACGAGCTATTTTCTGCATCTCTTGTAATATTCTCTTATATCAAATCTGTTTGTTTGTGTAAGAACAGACATCTTTGCACCTTTGTTAATCAGCAAGTACATAATGTTTGTGATATCACTGATCCACACAGGCTGAACTTGCCGATCTACTAGTTTAGAATAGCCGTTTGATTGGTCTTGGAATAAGAATTCGTAAGATGTATCTGTCGTTCGTTGACAGGGTCGAACTGTTTTTGGTTAGATTTGTCATGGAGGCCTTGACAGTTCTGAACTAAACCAATTAGAATTCTCCTGTCTGTATAAGTAAAATGTGCATAGAAGAATGAGTAGTTGGAATCCTAAGAGTTTAAGTAAAAATATACTCAATTCGGTAACAGTACGTTCATAAAGTACCATGCAAGCATCATTCACTGTAAACGAAATCATCAGATTAACCCCATTGCTGCATCCTTCTCAAGATAATCAGAAAACTGAAAAGTTTTTACGATGCCTATACTCTGCCTTGAGACACTTCAGTTTGGCTACTAGATCATCATATTCCGGAAGCTTGGGGTGGACATGGCTGGAGCAAGGAGACGTTCCCTGCGCCATTTTATGTCCATCAACCGGACCAGCGAAAGAATTGCGACTCCTCACCAACATCTTGGAGCGATCTTTGTTCACAGCATCCCCATTTGTACTTTTTCTAGGTGTAGTAGTCATGGCATGTGTCCTAGGGTTTCCATTTCCGTCCCGTAAGTCGATATCATTTTTCTTGATTTTGTTTAAGCAAACTGAACCAGCAGTTGTACTTGAGCCATTATGAAAATGGCATAGCGTGGCCAGTGAAAGCTTACCGTTCGCCAGCGAACAACGTATCCGAGAACTCTCCTCCGTTTCCGAATTCGGAATTTGTATTTGAATCCCATCAGCTTTCTGCTCATCCTTGAAATCTCTGTCTGCAAAGCTATAATTCTGTGCCATCAGGAAAAGCACTTTTAGGAAGTCATCAAATTTACATTTCAAATATATTAGGTTCAAACCACAAGTAGGACTAAATGTTATTGTGCAAGGTTATAAACTTCCGATGTGAGGTTCTATTAACAATGTCGTCGATAATGTGGTCAGTAAATGTGATACAAATCACATTTGTGCGCACCTGGTGTGTCGTGCCTTGGCTATCCTGAAGCGCCAGCTGGACATTGGTGTTCTTCATTATATCACCTATTAAATACTGTTTCACTTCGTCCGGAATCAGAGTTATGCATAGTTTCTCCTTCAACTGAGAATTCACAAGATTCCCAGCACGTAATTCGACACTGATAACGTCGAGTTCCCATCCGTATTGCTCTTTGAACAGGCCACGCAACAGACGTAGCTCTGGCAGTTCACCACATCTTGAGGCAGCAAATATTAAACTTGCAACTGCTTCTCCAACAGCACCAGGCAAGTCCTGCACTGCCCTGCAGAATTTATTGGTTTGTTAAATTTTATTTTGTATAAGCTTTATCGGGGAAGGGAACAATTGAACACGGAACTTCAAGTAACGGTGAATGCTTTTAACGAACTGAGTTACAAATCCCTTGATACTTACCTGTTATTGTACACATGGACAATACTGGTGGTAATGCAATTGCAGAAATGGGCAATTTGATCATATGCAGCCAATAAGCACTGGTCCTTGTGGAGTTTCTCAACCTGGACATAAGAACAAAAGGGGTGGTCAAAAGTTGTCCCTTAAAGAGACTTAAAACCAAATTAACGCCTTTTGGGTGATTGTTAAAACTAAGGGGTGGTCAAAATCACTCCTTATTGCGTTTGGCAAAAAAAAAAAAAAAAACTAAAAAAGTGTCCAAACAATAGAAGTATTTTTTTAAGAAACAAGTGTTAGATGTTTCTTCAAGAAGCACTTAAATGTTTTATAAAACTTTCAACATATTTTTAATAAAAGCACTTCTAATGAAGGTTCTTATTACCATAAGTGCTTCTTACATAAGCAATTTCAAATTTCGACAAAGAAAAAAAAAGAAGTAATTTCAAATGAGTCCCAAGATCCACGATGTATCATACAACAACAAAAAGGGTCTATTAGTAACTAGAAGTGCATTACTTTGTACGTATATCATGTGACAAGAGAGAAAGTTATGAGATATCATGTGACAAGAGAGAAAGTTATGAGAAATATATCTCCCATTGTACCAAAGTATCTCTCTCATACCACAAGAGTCGGGTCAAAACCCAAGTGGCCAAAATTGATTTCTTTAAAAAAAAAAACATGGGTAAATGATGGGAAAAAAAAACACAATTAGGTACTGCAATCCTTGATTAGCAAGAGATTAAATTACCCTAGGTAAAGCTTGCTCTAGCTGTCCATTTCGGAGAAGCAGAGAGATGTCAACACGTGCCTGCCTCACAATAGCATCTCTCCTATTCTTTTGGATGGTTAAATGCTTCTGCACTTGCGTAACCAGGCTCTTGCTGCAATACAAGCATGCACCATTAGTCACCTCGGCACAGTCATATTTGAGTTTGATGTAAATCTTTTATTTTTAAACAATAGGAGACTAGAAATCGAACGTGAGATCTCTTCTAACATTTGACAGTAATACCATTAGAGAGATGTTCTTAGTTGTGTAACCAAAATTTGATAACCCTGTGCATATCAAGTTCAATGTGGCACAACACTTAAAAATACGTATAAAATCGTATCTGAGCAGGGCAGCATGTTTACGATTAACAAAGTCTCGACCAATAATATGTAGTAACCCGATTCCGAAGAAAATAACTACAAGCATTTACATCATTGTAAAACAAATGATAATCATTTACACCATCATTGATGATCGGTATATAAAACGTAAAGGATTGCAGTACTTAGGCTTAGCCAAGTTGGCTACAGCAGTGTGCTCCTTCCGCACCCAAGTGCAAATTTCCTCTTAGTAGTTTACAGGAATTAGTGTAGAATATCGTTTGTAACAAACAAACAAAACAATAATAATAAAACTTAAAGGGTCAAGAAAGATTGTTTTACCATTTGGACACTTTTCTCCATCTTGAAGCCTTGGTCCATATAATTGCAGCTCGGAGTGCACCATACCACATTGTTTTCTTGGTTTTGCTTTGTCCTTTTACAAAATGGCTTTCTCACTTCTGCACTGAAAATTTGTTATCCAAAGAAGAAGAACAAAATGAAGAATTTTAGGGACTATTTTGGCTTTGGCAATGTGATGGGAGAGGAAAGTTTTGGCCTTTGGGACTCATTAGGGCAGTATTTACATATCAACTTAATAGCAGATACTAATTTTCTCAAGTAAAAAGTAAACCATCTTTTGTATTAGGAAGGTGATCTTATAACCAAAAGGGTATATAATTAATTCAATTTAATTACTCCAAGATCTTTATGCCATTTCAGAAATATCTCCTTGGTTATACAAAAATCATTTACGAACATCATCAGCCAGAAAGTTGTAATCTTTTGAGAATTTTTTACCACAAGATTAGATAGTTTTCTTAGGAAATGAATTCGTGCATGCATTTAGGTATATATTATATAAGATTTGTTCATAAAATATCGTAAGAATATGTTATACTAGCCGTCAGATTAGTCCTTGTATTTAAGTTCACTTTTATTTCTTTCTTTTTATTTCTCATTTTCCATAGAAGCTATTACGATTTGTCTATGTTATGCGTACACCTTAATTGGCAAATAGACAGATTCCAAAAATAGTGAAAAGCAGCGGTTCCCTAAACGATAGTAAATTGTACAAGAGGATAAGGTGCACAAAAGTTGCCTCATTTGTTAATGGTGGATTTGTGTTTCTTTTAATACAAACGATATTGATAATAATTTATACTAGGGGGATGAGAGGGTTTGAACCTGGATGAAGCATTTGGTTCTTGAAAACGAGCGAGTTTGCAGCATAAGATTCTACATGCTTGTTTATATTGTTTTTTTTTTTGGGTCAAAGCTTGTTTATATTGTTATACAACCCTTTTTGTCTCGCATACTTTTAACCCTAGTGAAGCCACTTTTATACCACCCTATCTCCTTTAAATTTATGATCAACTATTTTTGTGGCCTCTGTGGTGACCCCGCTCTTTGAACGGTGAAAGAGCTTGTTAATTAAACACAAGCAATGTTTAAAATATTGATATAGGTGGAAATATCGATATGCAAATTAATAGATATATATTGATATCAATATCGGTTGATCTTCGACGAATTATGAAAATTTGCAATGGGAGGAGAATATCAACTCATTCAGATTTTAGTCAAAATTAAAGAAAACTTTCTCATAAAGAGTTGAAAAGATTGAAATCTGTAATTGGTTCCGACAATATTTTTGCAGTGAATCGGTGAACATTGTCGATATTCATTGATTTTTCCAAATCTCATCGATATGAAATTTGCATTTCACCTCCTTTCCATATTCATCCTTAAATTTTTGGATATTTCAACAAAAATATCGTCAATTTCGTAAATAATTTAAACATGGAATACAAGTAGTGATTCCCATTATTCTTCCATTAAAAGAAGAGTTAAAGTTATCATTTCAATCAAATCTAAATAGTCTTGAACATTTTTTTTCTTAAAAAAACCAAAAAAAAAAAAAAAAGTCTTGAACATTAGTCATACGAGTTTGTGGAGTTTATTCGCTATAACTACTCAAAGTTGGGAATGATTTAGGGTTTGACGGGAAAACGCCCCAATGAACTACAATACTCACATATTTTATTTAATCATTTCATTATCCAATAACTTGGAAAGCAATTTCATGTAACAAATAGCTTGTGTACACTACTACAATATAGGCTATCACCGGCGAAGCAAAAACCGACAATAAACCTAATTTCTGTCGGAAAGTTGGCAAAAATCCGACATAAAACAATGTAATGTCGCATTTCAATAGCGACACTAATGCTTGCGTCACGAAAGGCCTTCAGTGTCGGTTTGATTGCTTAATCCGCCACTATGCAGCGTTGTTTCAAAGCGACACTGACATTAGCGTCGCTTTAAAGCGACGTACATTTGAACATTAATTATAATATATCCACCTCACTGTCGGTTCTAACCAACATTCCCATAAAATTATATAAATAAAATATACCTAAACCGACGTTATATAACCATTAAATAAATAAAATATTCAAATTTAGCAATTTAATTATAATATATAGCCACCCTACTGTCGATTCTAACAGACATTGTCTTACAATTAAATAAATAAAATATACTAAACCGACGTTAGATAACAATTAAATAAAAAAAAAATATTCAAAGTCAGCAATTTAATTATAATATATATCAACCATACCGTCGGTTCTAACCAACATTGTAATAAAATTAAATAATTAAAATATTCCTAAACCGACGTAAGAAAACCATTACATAAATAAAATATTCAAACTAGTAACGGTCTTAACCGACACTACCCTTGTTAATATTAATAAAAAAAACGTAAATCTGCATCATTTTCAATTAATTGGTACTAAAATATACAAACATTAATAAAAAAAATTAACAAGACATATAGTGCCAAAATATACAAATATTATACATCAAACGTTCCACATAATATACAAAAACTCATCCGTCACAACAAACACTAAATCCGACATTACAAACATAACATACAAAAACAAAAATATAGAACAAATGTGTCATATTTATCCGCCAAGAAAGCGGACCAAATAAACTACTCAACCGAACCTGAGCCTGAATGTGGCCCAGATCCTTCTCCTCCTTGAGATCCTCCTCCTCCTTGAGATCCTCCATCTGCTCCTAAATACCTTGTGAAGTCCACATCAAATCCACCACCAGCAAGCATTCCAGAAAACCCCCCAACTGGAACTTCAGGACAAAATACAGCAGGAGCAGCCATCTCAGGTTGATATACTGGCGTTTGATAATGTGAATACTGCTGCATGTATGACATGGGAGGATGCTGCATATATGGCATGGGCGGCTACTGCATGTATGACATGGGCGTAGGCATCGGATACATAGGATATGAAGGTTGCTGATTATGGCCAGCATACGGATATGCAGGGGGAGGCTAACTATGGCCCAACTGTTGAGGAGGCTGACTCTGGCCTGACTGTTGAGGAGGCTGACCCTGGCCTGACTGTTGGGTTCCCGGGCTATACGGCGGTTGAGGCTGAAAGTTTTGAAGAAACATAGTAAGCAACTGATTAGTATGTTCAAACTTGCCCTCTAGGTCCGAAAGCCGTTTATTAGTATTTTCTTCCCTCATTCTCAACACATTATTTTCAATCATCAACAATGCCATTGCACTATTAGATGACCTCCTGGAGGAATTTGATGTAGAAGATGAAGAAGATGCATAGGACACCATATCAGGAGTCACCCCATGACCATACCCTCTGACTCTGTTATGAGTCTCAGGACCCATTGTATCAACATAAACACGGGTTCTAAGTTCTTCATTATCCTCTTGGCCCGACTCAATCAAATTTTGCAAATTGCCCTCCATTGTTGCCTTGCATTACAATTTAAAAAAAAAAAAAATCAAACAATAGTAAAACAGAAAAATAAGTTATAGATATTAAAAATTAATAACAACAAACGACAAACACGAAAAAATCAACGAAAACATCAATTACCGTTGTACGCTCTGACGTTTCATCAATCCAACTTTAATCCTTTCGTGTATGACATTCACAGAAAAAGGTTACTGGATCCGCCTCTTTCCCATGCTGGTTCCGCTTTATGAAAAATAAAGTTTCATACAAACAATTTTAAGCACACCTCATACTAAAATAAAATTTATAATTATGTATTATTTAAAATTAACAACATATCTTTAAAGTGAACAATCCTTACAAATTCTTGCCATTTTCTTGCAAAAGATTTTGTCCCAGTAGTATGGTTCATTGTTTTCTTTTTCCGATTAATCTTATTTTTCTCAGCAACCTCCTGACAAAAAAGGGGAATTTTTTAGGCAAATTTAAAGTTAAAACGAAATAAATCATATAATAATTACCCTAGTTTTTTCCTTATTCCAGTATGCCACCAATGCAGCCCACTGTGCATGATTCACTTCAGGTGGAGGGTGGCTGCGCTCCTCTTCTGCTCTTTTAGAATAATGCTCTTTTTTTAACTTATTTCTATATTCTTTATGTGCATGCTCAGCAATCTTAAGCGTCATATGGCGAATTATAGGCATTTTCACAATATTAGCATCTTCAAAAAAAATATTACCCTGCATTCATAAAAAAATAATCAAGCCAATCAATTATTATTACATTTATCGCTTTTTTCTTCTATTCTCAAGGAAAAAAAATTATATATATACCTTTATTCTATTCCACAAAACTTCCTTATCTTCTTCCTTAATCTTACGCCAATCCCTCTCTAACGGGAAATTTCTGTTGTCTCGTACCTCCGCTGCTAGAAGTCTTGAAAATTCACTAGACTTATCACTAATGCATTTTCCGGACGAATCAAACGAACAAAGCTGTTTCGTCCATTTAGGAATTAAGGGTCCCCGCCTCCGTTGAGATGTTCCTTATTATAACAAAAAAAAAAGCAATTAAAAACACAGAAACAAATGTAGATTTTCAGTTTAAACATAATACTAGTTTAAACACAAAACAAAACTGAAATTATAATAACCTTAGCTGCGATCTTTTTTCTTGAGCTACGATCTTTTTTCTTGAGCTATCATCTGCGTTGGTAATTTTATATCTTGATTTACCACAAACCGAGCACACGGTCAAATCCGAAGTATCTTTCCAATAGATCATGCAATCATTGGGACATGCATCAATTTTCACATACGACAGACCCAAGTCATTTATAAGTTTTTTTGCCTTGTAACGGGTTTCAGGCAAACAATCCCCTTCAGGCAATATTCTTTTAATTAACTCCAGTAAAGTGGTGAAGATCTCATCTGGCATTCCCACTAAACACTTAATCTGATACAGTCTTACAACTGCTTCCAATTTCTTAAACTGCTTACAACCTGGCCACAAATCTTGATCTGCCTCTTCAAGCAACCTAAAAAAAGTCTCCACCTCTTCTGGACGCCCTTCCCTAATGGGGGGTTTAGTAGACGGCCCAACACTTTCTTCTGTTAATGGTTGGACAAATACATCATTAAGAAAATCATGCATGCCAATCACCTCATCTCCTGTTTCTTCTTCTCTAATTGCCATATTTTACTCTCCAATGTTTTGCTCGCCATGATGTCGCCACCAAGCGTTTTTATAATCTTTATCCATATCATACAATATGAGATGTTCAACAATAGTGTTCCTAACAAAAGTGTATCGATTACAACATCTTTTGTAAGGACATCTAAACTTATCAGGTCCAACACCATTTGCAACTGCTTGATCCAAAAACAAATTAATTCCAGCTGTATACGCTTCAAAATTTCGAGGTATCGTCAACCAACTCTTGTCCATGCTTTACCACTTTACGAGGGCAAAATAGTACGTTCACACTAAGATGCCTACAATCTTTCAATCCCTATCATGTAGGCATAACTATTAGAATTTTCAATTTCTATCTTTCAACCCTCGAACTCTATCACAATTGCAATCTTTTAATTTTCAACACCTATTATAGTGAAAACAAATTAAAATAACAACAAAAATTTATCAAAATTATGCTTATCTAATCCATTCTAATAAATACCAACCAAAAGTTATCAAAATAACAGCAAAAACAAATTAAAATAACAATTACAGTACAAAACAAATTAATTTAACATAATATATTCTTATATTACTAAATATCATAAGTTTATGTTATATTTAATATTGTTAATTTAACATAAATGCTAATAAATATTATTCATTTCCATTTTCTCATAACAATTCAAGTGACAAAATTAATTAATTCGACTAAATATAAATTAATTTAACAAAAATAATAGAAATTTATCTAAGTACTTAAATTAGAATTTTTAAATAAATAAAATTGTGTTTTATACAATTAAAGAATTTAGTGATAGAAACCTGAATTATGGAAGAATTCCGTCGTCGATGAATTCTTTATGTACTCAAGCAGCTCAAATAAATTCCCTACAAAAATGAATTGTAAATAAAAATTAAACATAATAGGAGAGAATAAAAATATTAAAAGCAAAAAACACTTACTGTTGTGAAGAAGTAACAAACGAAATTGGAATAACAAATAAGAAAGGTCTAAGTGAAAGAACAAGGGGAGGGTTTGTAAGAGAGGAAGAACAAACAAGAAAAATGGAAGAGAGGATGAAAGAGAACACGGGAGGGTATATAAAGACCCTCAATCCGTCGCTACAACCGACACTAAGTTTTAAAATATTTTAAAAAACTAAAATCTATGTCGCTCAGAACCAACGCAGGCTTTAAATTATTTAAAAACAATAATTTGTGTTGCTTAAAAGCGACACTAATACTTTATGTCGCTAAAAAGCGACACTGTTTTGTTTAAAGCGACGCTATTATTTAAAATTATTAAAATATATGTCGGTTATAAGCGACATTAAATGTTTACGTCGGTTTAAAAGCGACGTAGAAATTTTATGACGCTTATAAGCGACAGTAAATCCGACGTCATCTTCAGTTAGTGTCGCAACTGTCTTATCCGCCACTATATTAAATTAAACTGACGCCACCTACTGTGACACATCCCGTCCCGAAGTAGGGCATGCTGGCCGTCACGTGAGAGTGACGTAACCATTTGCACAGTACGGAAGCTTTAAGATACAATTTATAAGTTGATACACCCGAAGGTGAGTCCTAATTTTGTCCAATCTGTCAGAACACCGTCGAATTCCTCGTAGTCACCACACCTTTGTGATTTTTGAACCTGGAGGGGCGCAAAACCAAAATTGAGTGGGTCAGTAAAACAATTCTTTTCCAAATCCAAACATTTCTCAAAACGTTGTAACCCCTCTCCGTAAAACCTGTATACTTTCCCAGAAATGTAAAATATAAATCTACATATATATTCTCAAGACTTCAAGTCGTTAACTCAACATTTTCATACAATTATGCCATGCCACATCATCTCAACATTTCTCATATTAATTATGCCATGCCACATCATCTCAACATTTCTCATATTAATTATGCCATGCCACATCATCTCAACAGTAATAAGGTATGAATGCATCAACATAATCATATCAGGTGCAAGAAAGTAATCAACCGTAGGCCCTCTAATAGCCCTGTACGGTTGAACCTAGAGCTCAAAATCTATCACTCTCACACTCTGCCGGAGTCACTCCGCGTGACCTGTACGGCCTTCTGCACATAAGTTACGCTCTAGTGCTTCTCATAATCATTTGTGCACATAATCTAAGGTCACCCACCAGTCGGAATCTCACTAACACTCTCGCGACTGGCCTGTCGTACCCACTCCGCGTGGACTGTACGACTAGCATCTACTTGGATCCAAGACGAGCGTGCGATGCGGTGAATACTATAAGCACTAAACTATGGTGCAGGATTTGAGCTCAATATACATCAACATCATCATAACAGAAATAAATACTCACATGTGCGTCCACCGCACCATTTCATACATATGCATCATAAATCAATTCTTACCCGTGCGTCCACCGCACCAATTCATACATATGCATCATAAATCAATTCTTACCTGTGCGTCCACCGCACCAATTCATACATATGCATCATAAATCAATTCTTACCTGTGCGTCCACCGCACTAATTCATACATATGCATCATATATTAATTCATGCATGGCATTTCAACTCACATTTCTAAATACTTTTCATATCAATTCTATGCATGGTATTTCACTTCCCGTTTTTCCACATAACTCATATGCATTTCATTTTAAACATATTTTCATTTCAATTCAATTTCTGGGAAACGTCAAGTATATATATATATACGGAAAACAAAACTGCCCACTCACCTGGAGTTCGTCCAACAACTCCCTAGCACCACACATCAAGGCGTCACGACGATCGGCGCCTA